TATTACGGTTGACTTGAGCGGCTTGCCTTATCTGCTCCGCTTGATTCTTGGGTCCTCACCGAGCGGGCGTCCCCGGTTGGTTGTTCCCAGTCGGCTCCGACCGCGTCGGTCAGAGAAGAGCTGTAAGCAGAGGTTTGGTGTATTTCCGGTCGGAAAAGTGGGTCAGAGTCGGAAGCAAGTGTTGTCTCCTCCTTGGCCAGGCCTTCCGGTCGGAGACTGGAAATCTCTTCCGGCCTGTCGTTAGGTATCTGGGCCGGCCCAGGAGTCGTGCGTTGTTGTAATGCCGTCTGCTGGGCTAAGCTTTTGCTAGGAAGCGGGTCCATTGGGGACCCTGGGTTTATGAACCCGACAAAGTGATTCTTCGTTAATTATGTGAAGTGATTATCTGAAACAAACTAGTAGGTTGGAAGCTAAGAAAACCGCTTCTCCCGATTCACTTCACGCGTAGAACCATTGGATGCATAGAATTTATTCTAGAGAATCATAGATAAGCAATTTTGGTTAAAAAATCACTTCTCATAGAGTATCAGCTTCCACAGAGAAATTGGAGTAGGAGGAGCACTGCCAAACTGGCATAAAGCTTATTTGCACGACTAGAGGTGTTGCCCCGGCCAATGTGTTTTCCATGGCCTTCTGGTCCTACCTCTCACAGTAAGCTTCCACTACGGCTTCCAAATGCCAACTGATGGCAATGGGCTTGGCTTTGTGCGGATCTTTATATCCGTGAGGTACTCCTCTGATGATTATCTCAACGGCACTTCAGTTGTTGTAAAAAAAACGACGCTTCACTGAAGCTCGGGCAAGTGGTCATGGCGTCATCAGCTACAAGGAACTTGAAGATTAGGTTGCTTTTCTTTTGTTTCAAGTTCTTCCTCGGGAGTTGTTCCCTTCCACGGTTGTTTATTGGTGTACCAATGTTTTCCTTAATACTTTCTCTGTTTTTAAATTATAAGATGTCTTTAGCTTTTTTAGATACATTGATTTTATTATATTTCTAGATATAAGTATATATTAGATACATAAAAAAAATATATATTTAGAACAGCTGAAACATCTTATAATTTATCATGGAGTACTAAATACATGAAAATACCTTCGGATGTTTTCTATATATAAAAAAATTACCCGCGATGTATATGGTTCGTGTTAGATGGCTTATAGACTACCTTTTGGCTTTAGCCTATACACTGTGGGTGTCCTTAGCAAGCAAACAAGCATCGTCATCAACGTGTCTCCATTTGTGATTACACAATGTTCGGAGGGCCTCCCGTGAAGTAGGCAGTATTTGCAAATGTTGTACCACACAAGGTCGTCCCTGTCGTCGTCAAAAAAACTGCCGACCTACTGCATAAACTACTACCTACCATAATTAATTGAGACGCCGCCAACAAGCTCACTACTACCCGTTAATATGCGAGCCTGTACAAATGACATGCGGGCCATGTCTCTTAGGATCATCCGTGTCAGTTGGTCGCCGTTCACACGGGGCAGTGTAATAACAAATACGTATAAATTATTTGGCACAAGGAAGCGTGGGGCAACAGGAGAGCTTACTTCTGTGCGGTGTTGGAGGGGGACACGGTACATCCGCTGTGTTTGATGATTAACCATTTTGCGTAGGACAAAGTTTTTTCTCTCTCAATTATTCTCATAGATGTTGTAAAAAAGTTCTTATTTTCGCACAAAGAAACTATTCTTACAGTTCGGCTTTCCTCCTCTCTCTCTATATAAAACTGAATGTTGGTCACTCCTTAATTTTTAAAATATTTTGTTTTTGCACGCTAAGCGGCATCTAAGGTATTTTTTTTAGGGGAAAGCTTCTAAGGTAGTTTTAGACTATATAACATCATATCATTGACCAACCGTCCTATATAGCATCACGTCGGTCGTTCTATATATATATATATATATATATATATATGGGCATGATTGGTTCGCTTTCAAAATTTGTCATACCGAAGATTTGGTAAGCTATGATTTTGGCTAGTATTTGGTTTGCTACCAAAACTTGTCAAACTCTCACATTTGACTTGCCAAATCTATGACAATTTTTTACCTAATTTTTGACTTGCTAAATCTTTGACATGACAAATTTTAGAACTCAACCAATCAGGCCGTATAACATCACGTCAGCCATGTTCGGAGCCAGAACGTTAAATTAGATTACATTGAATTAATATTCAGATAGACTTTGTTGGAAAGTTATACAAATACTTTTTTTTAGAAAGCCATCCAAGTGTTTCTTTTTTCGATTTGGCTGGTTTATCTATCGAGAGGGGCATTGTATATATCTACTCAATACGTATACAGTATCTATTTAGGTCGCTTACAGTCTCAGTGATCTAATTTTTTTTTTGAAAGAAAAGTATCAGTGATCTAATTCCTACGAGTGTGTTGGTAGAATCTAGCGTGAAACACCATGCCAAGAACCCAGAGATGTCCGTGATAATACTCTGAGTTAAATTTAACAGACATTCGTTAAAGAAAAATAAAAAAGACGACGGCACGCCATGCCGGAGCTGAACGGGGGCAAAGCACCGGGCCCCCGGGCGTCGCTGGACTTGCCCGGCACGCCATACTGGAGCTGCATAGGACGCACGGAGGAGTTTCGGAGGTTTGCTTTCACGGAACACCATTTTTAATTTTAATAATAATAAAAAGTTTGCTTGAGGTTAATATATAGTACAACTTACACGGAACACCAACTTACGGTAATTTTCTTCAACAACAGCGCTCTGTCCATGAGATTTTTGAAACGCATTATGAGAAAAAAGATTTTGAGATTAATTGAGGTGGGAAGTTATCGCCCGAGTTTCGAACAGCTAAGACGAGCCAAATCCGAAGCGATTGGCAAGCGCTGTCGCACGCACATGGAATCACGCGACGCAAGTGATGAGATGTGCACGCGAGGCTCGCCAACACTATGCTACTCCTGGGAAGGCCAGTGATCGAGACATCGGCTTCATCCATTGGAAATGCCAAAAAAAATTTCTGCCAATGTTTAAGGGATGGATTCTCAAATCCGGATAGCACTATTTACCATATTTTAATTTGAATCTAAATCCAGATATATATATAGTTGAATACCAATATAAAATGGATACCTTGAATTTGAATTCACAATCAGATATGTTATCTCGAATATAAATATACATTCAATTCACATTCGCATATCTAATTGATTCGGATGCGGACATAGCCCGTATCTCGAATTTGTCATAAATATAAGTTTTAGATGTCATTTTGTTTTTTATAGATATGGAAAATGTCAGATATTTCGTAATTTTTGAATATGGATACGGAATCCAATAAAAAACGAATTCAAATACATCCATTTAGATCTATATCTATATTTGAAATAGGATACGAATACAGATATCCACGTCGACGATGTATGAATATGGGATGTTTCAGTTTTTTAGATATCAAGATTCAAGATCCATCCCTGCAAGCGGAGTTGTTACAAATTCCATAGTCCACCAGTGCCATTAATCTAATCGTCCCTGACCTTTCTTACGAATGCAACGGGGAAGTCGCAGTCTATGCAGTAATGCAGAGAGAATGGGCGGTGCGCTGGCGCGGCTGCTCCACCCAATCAGGAGAGTTTCCGTGACACTGAAAGCTCGTTTTGGACGAGTGGATGACCATCAGACCAATCTTGACGTCACTGCATCAGTCAGCAGGCCCCCCGAATTCAACCGAAGTCTGATCACTCCATCAGATTCTAATTTGCAGCAGTAGATATTTTCTTCAGTAACTCTGCACATCGTTTCTCCCTAGGTTTGCTTCGAGTTCTGCTGATCTGCTTTGATTCTTTGCTTCTTTTATTCCTACTGCAGCATACCTCAAATCTTCCATGTCGTAAAAAAAAAAACTCAAATCTTCCGTCGTGTAGGCCTTACAATCTTGTGATTGCTGGAATTGGTACGGAGTATGTAGTGGAACCCACTGTAATTGAGTCATCGCCCGAAAAAAGAACCTTTGCGATCCAGAGGTGATAATCTCCATCTGACCTGTTGATTGATACCCAGAAAGTAAACAGTGCTGAAATTGTTTTTTTTAAGATAATGGAACATCAGAAACAAACTAAGTCATGGTTCTTTCATCAATTAAGCAGCAAACTGTTAAATCACAAGAAGAAAACAGACTGTGTTGAGGAGATGCCTTCAGTTTCACCAGTTACCGCCCTTCTCCCTTCCAATCAACTGCATCTCACTCCACATTCATACACATCCTCCATCAGTATTATGCTAAGAAGAAATCGTGACATTTGAATCATTACACCATATTCTAATTTTATGACGATAAATAGAAACAGCTAAATCAATGGTTGCACAAAGAGACTAGACTAGAAACATGGTCAATTCTTGAAGGAACAAACAAGACAAAGTTGAACATATATTAAAGTTAGGACCTTTAATTTGGAGTATTGCAAGATTTGAGAACCTAATCACATACAGAATTTTAAGTTCCTTGTTAAGTCATTCAAAACGAAAAAGTACAGATATAAATGGGTCTTGTTGCAGGTATAGCACAAGTTACTTTCACATACCTATAGAATTCAACAAGTTCTGGCAACAATTGTGAAAGTTGGGGATGAATATTTACTGTTTTTCAGTAATTACTGCTCATAACCCCTATTGCCATCCAAAAACCATGATACGATGCTGAACCTCTTTTATGACTAAAGATTGGTGCTTTTATTTGTTTGACTAAAGCCAAAAAGTCACATGTAGTACCCATCTCAATTACCTGCCATAATTCATTCCTGAAAAGCATCCATGCAGGCTATCTCAAAAAACATAATGATGATCAGATGACATCATCCATTCCATTACTCAAGAACTCAAACCAAACTTTCTTCTGGTACAAGTAATTAATGAGTACCAGATGTAAATTCACCAAATCAATGATGAACTCCAGCCTGGTCATTTTGAATCCTTACCATCCTCAGGATTCAAAGATCTTCAACACAGACAACAGGAATTGGTTGTAGGCTTTCATGGCATACTGCTCAATAACTTGAGGCCTTCATCCACACGCCTTTGCTCAGAATAGCCATTGACAAGGGAACTATGAATCTTACTATTAGGGTTACATCCGTACACTGACATTTGCTCAAAAACTTCAGTTGCCATGTCAACCAGCCCATTCTGGCACAATGAACCAATGAGCATACTGAACGTTGCTTCATCTAGAGGGCACTGCTTTCTAAACATCTCAGCTATAAGCTCCCTGGCATCCTCCCATCGCTTTGCTCTACACAAACCCTTCAGTGCAGCGCTGTAGCAAATGGTGTCAGGCTCACATGGCATGTTTCTTAGTAACTTGAGAGCATCTTCAGCACGGTTTTGTTCAGCAAAGCCATTAATGAGGGAACTGTAAATAAAAACATTAGGCATGCATTCATACTTAAGCATTAGCTCAGAAACTTCAGTTGCAGACTCAAGAAACCCTTTGTGACACAAGTTATTGATTAGTATACTGAATGTGACTTCATCTGGCAGACAGTTCTTTCTAATCATCTCCAGTATCAGTTCACCGGCATCCACCCATCGCTCAGCCCTACACAAGCCTTTCAATGCAGCACTATAGCAAATGGTATCTGCCTTGCAGGGCATGTCATTTAGTAACTTCAAGGCATCATCTACACACTCTTGTTCAGAAAGGCCATTGATAAGGGTGCTATATATTATAACATTAGGCATACAATTGTACTTCGGCATTTTCTCAAAAACTTCAATTGCACACTCAACAAAACCTTTCTGGCACAAATAGCTGATTAGGGTACTAAATGTCACTTCATTAGGGAGACATTCATCCTTAACCATCTCAGCTACGAGCTTCCCGGCATCCTCCCATCGCTCGGCTCTACACAAACCCTTCAACATATAATTATAGGTAACAACATTTCGTTTGCATGACATGTTTTTGAATAGCTCGAGGGCATCATCCACACTCCCGTTTTCAGAAAACCCATTGATAAGAGAATTGTACATGATAATATCAGGTGAGCATCCAAACTTTGTCATTTCCCCCAAAACTTCAGCGCCATAGTCAACTAGCCCTTTTTGGCACAAACAGTAGATGATCAACCCGAATGTGACTTCATCAAGGTTCATCTGGTTTCTAATCATCTCAGCTACAAGCTTCCCAACATCCTCCCATCGATCAGCTCTGCACAGTCCCTTCAGTACGGATCGATAGCAAACAGTGTTAGGTTTCCATGGTATGGTTCTTAGTAACTCAAGAGCATCATCCACACAGCCATGTTCAGAAAAGGCGTTAACTAGGGCACTGTAGGTGAAATTATCAGGTTTACATCCATACTTGGGCATCTGCTCAACAACTTCCATTGCACAGTCAACCAAACCTCTGTGGCACAAGTAACTGATCACTGTGTTGAATGTAACTTCATCTGGGGGGCAATCCTTTCTAACCATCTCAGCAATAAGCGCTCCTGCATCCTCCCAGCGCTCATCTCTACACAAACCCTTCATCACAGTGTTGTAACTAAAGATGTCAGGTTTGCAGGGCATTTGATTGAATAAACGAAGAGCCTCCTCAACACGCCCTAGCTCTGCAAGGAAACTAATGATTTCATTGTAAACAATCACGCCCCGTGTGCACCTGCACCTGGACATCTGATCAAGAACTCCCATTGCACGGTCAACCAATCCATTTTGACATAACGAATGGATTATCATACCGAACGTGAGATCATTTGGGGGGCAACCACTCCGGATCATCTCGGAGAGGAGCTCCTCGGCATCGTCCCACTCCTTCTCGTTGCACAGGCCCTTGAGCAGGGTGCTATTGGTGTACGAGTTGGGGGAGAACGGCATGTCGGCGACGAGGCGCCGGGCGTCGTTGAGGCGGCCCTCGCGGCAGTAACCCGCGACGAGGGTGTTATAGGTGACGACATCGGCGGAGCCGGAAGCGGCAAGGGAGGCCAGCATACGCTCGGCGCCGGCGAGACGACCCCCCGCGCGGCAGTACCCCGCGACGAGGGTGTTCCGCGCGACGGCATCGGCGGTGCCCGCGCGCTCGGAGGCCCCGAGCACACGCTCAGCGTCGTCGAGGCGGCCCGCTGCGCAAAGCTTCTTGATGAGGAGGGTACAGGGAACCACGGCGGGTCGGTCGGGATCCCGCATGGACTCCACAAGGAGGAGCGCGGCGTCCAGGTCGCCGAGGTGGACGAGGTGGTGCAGCCGCTGGTTAGCCCCGCTCCCGCCCGCGCCGCGCCGGGGTGGGGGTGCCCGCGGGTTGACCCACCTGGAGGTAGCCGCCGCGGCGGAGGAGAGGCGGATGCGGGCCCTGTGAAGCTTGTGGTTCGTGGGAGGGAAGGGGTGGGCAGAGACGGCAGCGGTGGGAGGCGAGAGCGGGGAGGTGGCGCCGGCGGCGAGAGCTGGGCGTCTCATTTTCATGGTCCGCGCGCGTCGACAACGGCACTGATCAGGACTGGAGTGGATGACAGGATGCGAACTGGACTGTTCGACTCTGAAGCAAGAGATTGGATAAGGCCATGTTCAGGACATGTTTTTTTTTTCCTGTTTCTACATTTTCCCTAGAAAATTAAATTGAAGTTGTAAAATTCTAGTACAAATCTATCCCTAGAGGCAAAATTTCTGCCTCTTTTTTTACACTATTATTTTGTCCGCCCTCCTTCTAACTAACTAACCGTTGTGCTTTTATGATCCCCTACAATGTGTTCTCCTAATCTTTTGCAAGTGAACGCTAGACCAGTTGGTTTGGCCGTGTGCTTTGCATCCTGCCACCCAGTGTTCGATCCCCTATGAGATGGATTAGTTGGCCGGTGAAAGCACAGTTATCTGCGCTGAAAAAAATCCCAAAAATTCTCTCGTCTACTCCACGCCAAAGCACAGGTCTAAGGTCAGCTCAGTCTCACGGGAGCTACGGTGTCGCTGTGTATGGATGGGGCAAAGGTTCGGGGTTTTCTCGACCTACGTGAGAAGAACTTCTTTTTAAGCACAATGTCTGGGACTGTCTTAGCCATAGGTCGAGTTTTTTTCTCCTAGTCTTTTCGGATACAAATACGGTGCCTTTCCTGCATAGTATATGCGTATCCTCTGCTCTTTCTTTTCGATCAAAATATCACGACGATGGACGAAGATAACGACAACACTAATTCCTGGAGTTCCTGGAGTTTAGCAAAGAGGCGAGGAACATCAGGTTCGCGCTGAGTACCGATGGGATGAATCCGTTCGATGACCTCAGCAGCTCGCATAGCACTTGGCCGGTCATCCTCATTATCTACAACCTACCTCCCTAGCTATATCAGAAGCGCAGGTATCTTTTACTAACCATGATTATTTCTGGACCTAGGTAGCCAAGCAATGATATAGATGTGTTCATGGAGCCGCTCATGGAAGACATGACATACTATGGGAAGATGGAATCAAGATGATGGATGGGAGTTCACTCTAAAAGCCATCATCTTTGTCACCATCATCGATTACCTTAGTCTTTTTTCACTGTCGGGGCAGATCAAAGGTAAGTCAGATTACGTAGTTTGCATTGATGGTACCTGCTACACTTACCTTAGTGCATCCAAGAAGATGGTGTACATGAGGCATAGGTGATTCCTCGTCAAAAAGCACAGGTACCGGGCAACTACGATGAATAAGTACTTCGACAACCAGGATGAGCCTGAAACTGACGAGTCAAAAAGGAGAAGGTACGGGTAAAAGGTGTTTGACATGGTGAAGGCATAGACGTTGAGTTCGAGAAGAAGAAACAGGAAGATGGGACCATGACAAGGAAGAAGAGGAAGCGGGATAAGATGGAGGAACCACCTGTCGCCCCCATTCCTTTCAAGAAGCAGTCGTGTTTCTTCAAGTACCTATCGTACTGGAAGGAGCTAGATACGCCCCATGCCATCGACTGCATGCACATTGAGAAGAATGTCTTTGAAAGCACCATTGCCGTACTGCTAGACATCAAGACTAAGACGAAGGATGGTCTAAAGTCACGGATGGATCTTGTCAACCAGGACATTAGGACCGAAATTCACCCGACACCGGTGACGCAGAGTGGGAAAGTCGACCTTCCAGGCGTGAGCTACAACCTAACGAGAGATGAAAAGAGGGCCGTGTGCTAGTGGCTTAGGGGTGTCAAGCTGTCGATCAGTTTCTCTTCCATTTTTTTGGGTTTTGACCTCAAAACCCAAAAAAGTGGCCATTTCTAGGGGGAGGTTTTGCCCTTGGATTTGTTGAAGGGGGGCACCGCAAGAGGTTGATTCTCGCTCTCAAACCCTCAATCTCCTCTCTTTTCCATGATTTGGGTGTTTTTTCTCAAGATCTAGATCTAGATCTATATGGAGGAGAGAGAAATTAGATCTTGAGCTATCGGGCTGCCTTTTTTCCATACTGCTCTGCTTATATGCACCATTTTCGCTGTTTGTGTGTGCAAGGTGTTCGCGGTCATGGACAGGGAATGGATGTATGAGACATCGAGGCTGGATCAAGCTTACCTGGATCACGTGACAAAGTTTATTGCCGCTGCAAAAAGGCATCGTCTGAGTGTGAAGTGGGAAAATACCATCTATTCGTGTAAGAGCTGCAAGAACCTTCTTGCCCATGGAGATGACACGGTGAAATCTCACTTGGTCTGGTATGGTTTCGTCAAGCATTACACCATCTGAAAGTTTCATGGGGAAGCAGAGGATCCGAGTGCCGGTGCATCTGGAGGAAACTCGTTGACAACGACAACAGCAGCGGTGAATGCAGAACAATAAACCTCATCAGCAGCGGGCGGCGGGCATGGTAATGCTGCTATTGGTGACAATGCAGATTGTGATTACATCACGATGGATGATCTGCTCCAAGACACGGTGGACGACGATGGCGGTGGGGGCGGCGATGATGGGGATGGCGGTGAGCCCATGAAGGATCCCGAGACCGTAGAGCTTTTTGTGTCAATCGCTAATCATCTTGACCATGATGACATTCTGTTTGGGAGTCTAAGGTGGCTAGAGAATTTTAGAGAGATGAAGCATGCGGCAATTGATCCCTTCTATAAGGACTGTCCAAAGCACTGGACGGTGCTATGTTTTAACCTCTAGATGCTGATGCTGAAGGGTCGCCATGGTTGGTCCGACACTAGCTTCAATGACATGTTACGTATCCTTGCTAACACATACCTAGAGGGTAACAAGGTGCCCACCAATACCTATCGAGCGAAGAAGCTGATCCGGCTAAGGGCGATGAAGCTTAAAAATTTCAACGCCTGCCCTAACCACTGTATCCTATATCAGGGCAAGTATGAGAACTTGCAGAGCTATCCACACTATGGCGCGAGTCGGTACAAGAGGAATGCTGGTTGTCGCGTGGATGTGGACGACGAGAGAGGGCCAAAGAAGAAGAAGACAACCAAGAAGAGTACCGCGAAGAAGCAGATCCTGTCTCTTAAGGACGAGGAAGAAGAGGGTTACATGAAGAGGAAAAGTCCGGCCCTATTGATGTGGTACCTGCCCATGATCGATCGTCTGCGTGCTATATTTGGAACCCCGAGGATGCCAAGCTGATGTCCTGGCATGCATCTGATGAGCGCACGAAGGACAACGGCAAGCTGTGGCACCCTTCCGATGGCAAGCAGTGGAAGCGTTTCAACGCCAAGTTCCTGGAGTTTAGCAAAGAGGCGAGGAACATCAGGTTCACGCTGAGTACCGATGGGATGAATCCGTTCGGTGACCTCAGCAGCTCGCATAGCACTTTGCCGGTCATCCTCATCATCTACAACTACCTCCTTGGCTATGTCAGAGGCGTAGGTATCTTTTACTAACCATGATTATTTCTAGACCTAGGCAGCCAGGCAATGATATAGATGTGTTCCTAGAGCCGCTCATGGAAGACATGAAGATACTATGGGAAGATGGAGTCAAGATGATGGATGCGTCCCTAAAGGAGTTCACTCTAAAAGCCATCATCTTTGTCACCATCACCGATTACCCTCGGTCTTTTTTCACTGTCGGGGCGATCAAAGGTAAGTCGACACGTAGTTTGCATTGATGGTAGCTGCTACAATTACCTTAGTGCATCCAAGAAGATGGTGTACATGAGGCATAGACGATTCCTCATAAAAAGGACACGACCAAGGGCAGCTACGATGAATAAGTACTTCGACAACCAGGATGAGCCCTGAAGCTCGACGAGTCGAAAAGGACAAGGTACGGGCAAAAGGTGTTTGGCATGGTGAAGGGCATAGACATTGAGTTAGGGAAGAAGAAGAAATAGGGAGATGGGACCACGACAAGGAAGAAGAGGAAGCGGGATAACATGGAGGAACCACCTGGCGCCCCGTTCCTTTCAAGAAGCAGTCATGTTTCTTCAAGTACCTATCGTCTTTGGAAGGAGCTAGATATGCCCCATTCCATCGACTGCATGCACATTGAGAAGGTCTTTGAAAGCACCATTGGCGTACTGCTAGACATCAAGACTAAGATGAAGGATGGTCTGAAGTCACGGATGGATCTTGTCAACCAGGACATCAGGACCGAAATTCACCCGACACCGACGACGCAGAGTGGGAAAGTCGACCTTCCAGGCGCGAGGTACAACCTGACGAGAGATGAAAAGAGGGCCGTGTGCCAGTGGCTTAGGGGTGTCAAGGTGCTGATCAGTTTCTCTTCCATTGTTTTGGGTTTTGACCTCAAAACCCCCAAAACTAGACATTTCTAGGGGGAGGTTTTGCCCATGGATTTGTTGAAGGGAGGCACCGCAAGAGGTTGATTCTCGCTCTCAAACCCTCAATCTCCTCTCTTTTCCATGATTTGGGTGCTATCGGGCTACCTTTTTTCCATACTGCTCCGCTTATATGCGCCATTTTCGCTATTTATGTGTGCAAGGTGTTCCCGGTCATGGATAGGGAATGGATGTACGAGACATTGAGGCTGGATCAAGCTTACATGGATCATGTGACAAACTTTATTGCCACTGCAAAAAGGCATCGTCTGAGTGTGAAGCGGGAATATACCATCTATCCATGTAAGAGCTGCAAGAACCTTCTTGCCCACGGAGATGACACGATGAAATCTCACTTAGTCCGATATGGTTTTGTCAAGAATTACACCGTCTAAAAGTTTCACGGGGAAGCAGAGGATCTAAGTGTCGGTGCATCTGGAGGAAACTCGTTGACAACGACGATGGCAGCTGTGAATGCAGAACAATAAACCTCATCAGCAGCGGCCGGTGGGCACAACAATGCTGCTACTGGCGACAATGCAGATCGTGATTACATCACGATGGATGATCTGCTCCAAGACACGGTTGACGACGATGGCGGTGGGGGCGGTGATGATGGGGATGGCGGTGAGCCCATGAAGGATCCCGAGACCGTAGAGCTTTTTGTGTCAATCGCTAATCATCTTGACCATGATGACATTCTGTTTGGGAGTCTAAGGTGGCTA